ATTATTATTTTTTTGTTCAAAGTAATAACGAATTAATATTTATGCTATCATTTGAAAAAATTTCATACCATTATTCCTGTATATGCCATATCAATCACTACATGTGTCAATGCGCGGAATGACCCTAGAGGTGCCTCAAAAGTACATTGATAAGTTTGATTATGTTGTGTCGGATGTTAGGCGCCGACTGGCGGCTATGGCTAACAATATGGACGAGTCGATTGGCGTGATTATAGAGCGCTTACATTCCAGGGGAATGTTAGACAATAGTGTCGTTATATTTGTTAGCGATAACGGCGGCGATCCCCTACAGCACGTGGGTAAGTTTACTATCAAGTCTTTTGGGTTTAATTTATGAACAAGGTGACACAATATTCAGTTTACTATAAATATTTTCAAAAATGGTTTTGTTAATAGTTTAAATTATTAATTTTTAAATCTTATTATTAAGGTAATGGTGGTTCAAATTATCCATTACGTGGGACAAAATTAGGGTTATTTGAGGGTGGTAAGTTGTAGCTGTCATGACGTTACAATTAACGTGAATAAAAATATTTAATTTTAATTTTATAATTATTAATAGGGATCAGAGTTCCGGCATTCATATGGAGTCCATTGTTGAACAAAAGTGGTTACGTATCGAATGCATTGATTCATGTGACAGACCTGTTGCCTACCATATTGGACGCCATTAACGGCACCGGTATTCGCAACGAGAGTAATATTTATGGTATGAAATTTTTTCAAATGATAGTGAATATATTTTTAATACATGCTGATAAATGAACATGTTTAAATAGAATTTATAAATCTGTGATTTAATTTTCAAAAATAAGAGGGTATATGAAAGGTTAATTTAAAATGTAAGTTAGGCTTTTATACATATATGTGGTTTTAATTATTATTATTTTTTTGTTCAAAGTAATAACGAATTAATATTTATGCTATCATTTGTATTTTAAAATGCATGTATGTGTGAGAGTGAGAGAGTGAGTGAGTGAGAGAAAG